TCTTAGGTCCTAGGCACTTTGAGTTCTGGAAGCTCATCCCATATTGTAACAAACATATTAAAATACTCCCACATTATCTAAATACTCCTAAAGAAATTGAACTTAAAAAAATAGTTTTAATTTGAAATTATTTGGCGACGGGGAGCTCATTTAATTTATGAATGCTATGACTTCCCCGCAATTATGGCATTAGGAAATTCTTACCAAGTGGTTTCTAAGTCACACATGGTTTTCAAATACAATGAAATGTTTATCAATGAATAAATTACAATTATGAATTTGACATGTTATGTTTTGGGGATCTTTCATTGAACATTTATTAATTTCAAATTTGCAGTGTACTTTTTGCATTTTGGGGCCAATAAAATTTCTTTTTTAGTCTCATTTTCATAGGTCCTTGAAAAGCCTAATGAATAAAATGGGCCCATAAACATTGCTCCTTGTCTATGATTGACCACCCAGGCAATAAAAGTCAATTAAGACTCATTTTCCTCCATGCTAAGGCGACCCCACGAATGGAACATAGGAAAATGCGTCTTTTTCCAGGACTTGCTTTCACCAGTATTTCTCCCATACTTAGAATAAATGCCAGCTGACATCCAGGAGAGGCTGGGAACTGAAGACACAGACTCACTGGGTACCCTTCCTCAACACCACTGATGTTTTCTGGGGAAAAGAATTTATGGTGAAAATTTCCCTAATTGGACATTGTAGCACTAACATGCTAGACATGTTTTTATTTCTGATTTTCAGAGGGCAGGGGCTTCAGACACGTTTTTAGCTGGGCATTTTCTTCTGTCAATCGCAGGTGACTGGTCATCTAGGACCCGGCTGTAAGTGGCCGGTCCTTTCCGCAATCACATCTCGGGTGGACGGTTAGCTACTGTCTGGACACGTTACTAGGGGCTTCGTCGGGACGGGGATTCCTCCCACGCAGCTCCAGGGGCTTCGGCCACACTCGCTGAGATGACTGCCTGATCAGGCCGGAGTGGGTCCCCGGGGGTCACTCTGCGGGGACCACCGGCCGTCTGCAGCATTGACCTCTGGGCCCCCACCATCCCAGCCTTGACCTCCGCTATGTGACCTCCACTTCGGCCCCGACCTCTGCCATCTGACACCCACCATCCGTCCGGACCTTGACCTGGGCCGGCGGACGCCCCCGCGGCCCGCGGGACTTCCTGCGGGCACCCCCGCCCCGCGCCGCCTCCGGGACCCCCGGCGCGGACCCGGAAAACGCCCGGACCGTCCGGCCACCGCCGCCTCTGCGCAAAGTGATTTCTCGGAAAGCCGGCGCTTCGAAGAAGGCGGGCGGGCGGCCGCGCCCATTGGGCGGCCCCGCCGGCCCTCCAGCGCCCATTGGCCCGCGC